GGAGAAAACATGGTCCGAGTGATTCTGTAGAGCTCCGGACTGCTTCTCGATAAGCAGCAGAGAGTCTCTTAAAACTGAAAACACAAAGACGGGACATACTAGGGTCAGACTCTGCAGGGACATTTAATATCAGCCTCTTTTTTCATATATATGATATGCATCACTGACATGGAGAGGTGCTGTTGATGCAGCTCAGAAGATGCTGTCCAGCCTGGAGGACGCAAGAAGTCAAAGGTTGATGGCGGCTCAACTCCTTCTGGAAGCTCTGAAAACAAATCAGAGTGTAGAAAGCATGAAGCTGTAACTTATGGTTTGGGTTCTTACTACAGATGGGACAATCAGAACTGATTTTCAATTGATGTTGTTTGTAAAGCTTTGACCAGCTGATACCAATTTATGGCTCCTGGCTTTTTTTTTTTTTTTACTAACATTTCCCTTGCGCTCCAATTAAAAGATTATGTTTATGCATCAAATTTTAAGTGTTTATTCTCTTGTCTAAAGAGAATAAACACTCTAAATCCTGAGAAAACCAAAGCGATGAGGATTTTTATTGATTTTTTTCTTTCACCATTGTGAACGTTTTGGGAGGTTTATTTGTTACCTGATAATCAGCCAGCGATGACTTCACGCTGACTAAGTCCCCTGCAGGAGCAGCAATCTTCTCCATGCTCCGTGACAGAGCATACAGCTGCCGGATGAGCAGCTCCAGCTGTGAACAGAACAGCTGGAAAAAAAAAAAAAAACACACACCATTCACCGTCTGCCATCAATACACCGCTGGAGCCCAGCTCAGCTTGTTCCTACCTGGATGTGTTCGATCACAGAGTCGCTCTGCTCCTGGCCATCACACAGCTGCTTCAGCAAACATTCCCTGACCCCCGTCACACTCGTCAAAGCCTCAGAGTCCCTGCTGCCGCCATCTGCTGCTGAGAAACAAAACAAGTGAGAACAGATGGGTGACGAACAGAAGAATGTGTGTAGCTAGAAATGGAAAGGAAATAAATGCCTGTCTCTGCTGCACAGCGCTGCGTTCCTTCGCATCCATCCTGTTTGCCCTGCGCAGTCTCTGGGCGTTTCTGTGAAGAGCTGATGAAGGGCAGCATGGAGGTTGTGTCCCGCTCAAGAGATGCGCAGCGGGCTGTCGCAGGTGGGCTTATCTGGGCCGTCACCTCCCTCACCTTCCCCAAAACACAAAAACCACAACATGTACCTGACTTTCCGCTCCGTCATTTACTTTAAAAAATGACAACAACTGTGTTTACTGTCTTTCAATCATCTTCTTCCGCTTTCACAAAAGAATAATTTTCCTTTTCTGTTTTCCAATAGACCACATGGGGACAGAAATAGCTCACGACATCACCTGGGAGAATCTTGCATATTACCCCAACTTTTGGAGAAACCCTGCAAGACTGTGAATATTGACATCTGTGATAATATTGATACGGTTTCTGCTGTGTGTGTTATTACACATTTAGGGAAATTTGCTGTTTTAGATTAAACCCTGCACATGAAGCTGCTGGACTGACCTGTTTGGACAGCTGCTGCAGCTCCTCTAGCTGCTCTGGTAGAGGCCAGAACTCCTCATCCACCTCTCCACCAACCCACCTGGACCGTGGGAGAACATTAGCGGAACGGATGAAAGCAGCGGACGAAGAGGCGGCTTCTGCATGGCGTTGATAGTCGTCCCTGCTTTGATCACTTCCAGCTCTGTCCCTGACGCAGTCCAAACTGTCCACGGACCAACTGGTGACATTGGTAACGGAGAGCGGTGTACAGCAGGGGGGAACGTCTGAGGATGCGAGGAACACCTGCGGATCGGGTGACCTGCTTCTGTCTCGACTCCTTCCTCCTCCACTCTCAGAGGGTTCAAACCCTGACAGGCTGGCAGAGCTGCACAAGTGGTCCAACTCGATTCCTGAGTCCTTCATGTTTGGCTCACATCTTAGAAGAGAGTCTTCTTGCAGCCCAGGGGAGTTCCATTCCCTGCTGACATGTCCTGGTCTCAAAGGATAGGTGTAGTCCAGCAGCGCCTCATATTCTTCGTTTGGGTTCCAGGCAGCAGACTTTCTGTCTGGAGAAGGAGGCAAAGCTTTTGGAATGGCACAGGCCCAATAGTCCACCTGATGCCAACACTCAGAGTTCGCCGCTGAAGAACTCGTCTTCGTCCCTTCTACACCACTCCCTTCCTTGGAACTCAAGTGGGCTTGGCTTATTCTGGGGTGGCGCGAGCGTGGCGTGTAGGTTGGGTTAAGGACTGTGGAGGTCAGCTGTGGCCTCAGAGGAGGATTTATGCTCTGAACCTCTAGAATTGAGCTGGAGAAGCTTCGCCGAGCTGATCTGCCATGGAAAGTTAATCCTGAAGTGGGTTCTCTGTGGCCCAGTTCTGGAACAGTCGAGGTTGAACTGGGTTTTTCTCCAGAGGCTGTGGGAAGTGAGAGGTCCCTCAGAGAGAGGCCATGCATCTGTGGGGGGTTGACCCACTGCTTCATGCTGGGTCCAGAAAGCTCCTCCTGAAAGACGTCAAAGTATAAGTTTTGAGCGTATGGTATTATATTTACTGATATTTAGTTATACATACTTTGGATAAAGGAAACAGCATTTTAATGATCAATCTCTAGTTAATAACTACATATTTACCATAATAGTGAGCTCTACTTCACACAATAAGCACTGAACTTAGAATGAAATGTAGAGCAATGACAATATTTTCATTCTAAGTTGTAAGTAAACGCCCAACTCACCGTTTCTGGGAGTTTCTTTAAGATGGACGAACGATGCTCCTCAGTGAACAGGGGCTTTCTCTGCACATAATGTCTGTCAGTCATATTGTGGGTCTTGATTGCTATGGTCACACTTTTATGGTGCTCCCCATTGACTGTTGCCTCAGCTTCGTCTCTACCACCGTCTTGTGCAGCTAAGGATGCGTTGCTGCGCTTAAATGTTGAGAGACGCATCCTCCATCACCGTCTAATTTCATCTGAGGACAGAAAAGCTGAGGGTTCCCTGTAATGGAACAGAAGCAAGTTTGGAAATGAAATGAAATCTAAGCCAGATTCAAGTATGGATTTTTCTAGATTTCTAATACTTCAAAAATAATAATCAAATAAAAGCTTCAATCATTACAAAATCTGATCAGAAAAAAAACACACTGATCAGCCACTAGAGTCTCTCTAAAAATTTGCCTATTTGGATTTTTTTCATAGAGGATATCAAAATATAAGACAAAAAAAAATTAGTCTTGGAAGCTGAAATATTTATGCTCAATGCTACCTGTCACTGCTGGGTACCTTTTTTTGTGGAGGAATTTTGACCAACTCTGCTTTGGAGAATTGTTTGAATTTCTGTAGCTTTCAACATTGGGTGCAGAAAACCAAGTGCTTCCTTTTAGAAGTGACTCCCTGGAGTTGAGCTTCACCAGCGTGACTCGCCCACACCACTCCTTCAGACTAGCAGCAGCAGCAGCAAACACCTGGTGGATCTGCACATCTGCAGAGCTCATCACGTGAACTGCTTCTCAGTGAAACACTGGTAAAAATGTTAAACAATTGGTATGGTTTTGTTTAAATTCTTGTCCTGGGTGTTTTTGATGTTTCTACGATTTTCCCATTGATTATTATTTTTTAATATTATTGTGATAGTATGCTCAATGTCATGATTTTAGGATGTTAGTTCACAGCCAAAGATGCATGTAGGTAAAAAAACAAAACAAAAAAACATCCAGCCTAAGCAGAGCACCTTGTTCCCACAGCCGTGTGTTATTTGCGTGTGTGTGTGTGTGTGTGTGTGTGTGTGTGTGTGTGTGTGTGTGTGTGTGTGTTCAGAACCAACTGTGGTTTTGTTCCTCTCGGGAAACTAACACCGTGGACAACACCCCGGTACCAAGCGACGCCAGAGACCGACACAGAGGGAACGTTCGTCCGTCATTTGGTTCAAACAAGCACATAGAAACATCTGTAACCTCCGTCACAGATGTTTTCAGAAGTTGTCCGACGCTTGAGCGCAACGAGGCGTTCAGCGGAAGTCTCACGGAGACCACGTCGAGAAGAGAACAAAGAGAGACAGAGAAAGAGAGAAAGCTGGCGCAGCCATTTTTAACCACCCAGCACGGGGCTCGGGGTTTTACCTGCGGTGTCGTCCCGCTGCCGGGGCCTCCTTCGCGGTGGCTGTCGCCGCTGTCAGCCTCCTCCCTCCGCGGCTCTTGTCTCCGAGCTTCCGTTTCTGTCCGTCCGCTGCAAACGCGCCTCATTCTCGTCCAGCCTTCTCCTCACAATTATATGACCCCATTAGCGGTCATGTAATGGAAAACTTCGAAGTTCATCAGACACGCTCGGTGAAACGACATTGCAACAGCTACAGACAGTAGATATGACATTAGTGATGGAGCCGGAAAATGCACTTTCAATTTTTAATTGTCCCCCAAGTGGACAAAAGTAGAAATGCATGTATAACGGAGAGCCGTCTCTTTTCTTTTCAGTGTCACACCATTAGAACTACTACTAATAAATCAAGTAAATCACAGGCAGGTTTAGCCCAGGAGTTTATTTTCTGTTTTTCTGCCCCATGTTTTCATGAGTTGTCTTTTGTCTCATTCTCATTTTTATTGTTGCTTTTCCTGCACCGTCGAGGTTTGCATGTAAATGTCCAGCTTGTGTCCGGCCCCTCTTTCTTTTTACAGCAGCAGAACACCTAAAGAGACAACTGTATCATAGTTTAGTGAAGACACAACCCTCATGTCTCTTCCTCAGGGTTCAGATCAAGTCTTGCTGATGCATTATCTTTATTAAATAGTGTCAGTATTCCTTCCTGGATGTTAAAAAAAATCTCTAAAATAAGCAAGCATGAAACAGATGGATTGGAAGGCTACAAATGATTGTGGCCAAGAACGTTTTCTGAACCTGAATGACGTCACTGAACTGCTGTGTTGCGGAGCAATCTGTGTACCATCACTGTCGATCCCGTCCAACATGAGACAAAGAGTCAGAATAAACACTTGAGGCAGGTTAAGATCAGACTGAATCATCCTTTAGTTACACAAGTGGGACATCAAGTTAATCAGGTGAGCATATTGTTCTGAATACACACATATATTCACATATATACACGGCCACACAGTCTCAGTCTCTTCCAAGGTTCCTCTGACAGAGGTGGAGAAACTGGAAGACTTCCCTAGAAGTCCACACAGCGGCCCTTCCTCTCCCAGTCCCCGTATCTGGTGGGCTCCGGACCCCGAGGGCCACCTTTCTCCTTGGTTACAGGGTTTACGTCATCAGGATACTCTGCAGGAAAACAAAGACGCCAGTAAAAATCTCTTCTGTCATGTTTCTCTTTGGACTTCAGTGGCTTTTTCTCACTCATTCTTCATGTTCTTTCCTTTTGGATTTCATAAGCTAAAGTTTTTTTCTTCATCATTTCTATAGTTGCTATTTAAATAAAGAAATGTGGAAACTACAATGACGTCCTATAGTAAAAACTACAAATTGAGTTTCTTAGAAAGTCAGACCAATTACTTTGCTTTTCAATACAGAACACTTATTTATGCAAAAGCCTAGATAACGTACAGTGCATAGACAGCAAAATCAATTTCTAGATTAAAATAAAGTAGTAATTTAGTATTAAAATTGATATTTTAATTTTCTGACAAACCTGTTTTGTGTTCACTATAAATATAGATCACACTCTTCAAAAATAGCAGAATAACAACAGAAATGGTTGGTTCCTCAGTGAAGTAATCATAGTATAAGCAAACAGAACAAATCTGATAACACTGATTATTGACCTACAAGATGTGGTCAAAATTTATATCGACATTTTGACTCCTGCACAATTAAGTAAACAAAGAACAAAACATCTGCCTAAGACCTTGAGAAGATGGGAACCAACCAAACAGGCTGTTTCTCACTTTCGAGAACATCTGCGCTCTTCTCCGGAGCGTCGAAGCGACCCTGCGGGGTTTTGGCCTTCTTCAGCGGCTCCTGGTCCTTCGGGGCTCCGCTGGATGACCGTGCAGAGCCTTGACAAGGACGGCACAAAGAAACTACTCCACTTCATCGGCTTTCACATCAGACTCAGCCCGTCTCCCCCGAACCACCTGCCTCTATGATAAACCGGCCACGGCTCCCAGAGAGACTCACACCTACCTGGAAACGCCAAGCCCGCAGCCTGGGTTCGAGACCCGACCCGTCTGCTGGCTGACACACAGAACCGTAAAAAGGACATGATACATAGAACAGAACCACACCGAAGATTCCTCCTAAGCCGCTGTGGGGACTGTTACAAAACAACGAAGGAGCGTGGTTTTTACGTCAAAATATATGTAAAAAAAAGACAACACCGTCATCAATGTGCGACAAGTTATTGTAAAGTCACTGAGCGTCCAGCAGGGGGAGCAAAACTAAGTCTATGTTCTTATGACAATAAAAGGAAACAAATTCTGGACTAAATGACATAATTCATGATGTACAGAAATGTTAGAGACTCAGGAAAAAATGCTGAGATGATGATGAGGAGGAAGATGATTGAGAGTGTTGAAGCTGAGATGCAAATAATAAATAACAGCAAACTATAGAAATAAATAATAATAAATAAGTGCACACTCATGTCTGAGGACAATTTAAACAAGCCAATTAACATAATATAATATAATATAATATAATATAATATAATATAATATAATATAATATAATATAATATAATATAATATAATATAATATAATATAATATAATATAATATAATAAACTTCAATGATTACTAAGGGAAAATTGCTTACTTGTTCACAAGCTACTCCTTCCAAAGTGTTTAATATCATTAAATATGACATAACTATAAATGATATAAACTATATATGAAAACAAGTAATATATGCATATTTGATATTGTGATTTAAATATGACCTAAACATAAAATAAATAAACTAAGCTAATAAGAAGCAAGCATATGGAAAAATATATGCTTTAAATCTATAAATGAGTCCAGAGAAAACTTAGATTTAAAGTGCAGAAGAAGTTTTAGTTTGGTAACCGGAATTAGATCTTTTTGCACTTTCCGTGTCTGATCTGTGAGTTTAATTTTGTTAATGTGACCTCCGACTCTCGATCAGATGTTAAGAGGGCAGAAAAGCTTCAATGCTCCATGTTTGATAGTTCAAATATTATCATTTCAGATAATGAGTTTTATATGTAAATGATGACTATCGCTGTCTTTGTCATGGTGGTTTTGTAGCTTGTGGATTATGGGGTGTTTTTCATTAATTCTGTATTTTTGTTAAGTTTTTTTTCTTGTTCCTTTGACTAAGTTTAAAAAAACCAAATCATCTTTCTTAAAAAACACAAATTGTTTTAGTCTTTTTTTTTTTTTTTTTTTTTTTTTACAACCTTTGGTGTCCAATCTCACTCCATTAGGCAGGGTGTTTGTGTGCACTCGCATATAGTACATTTATATATAGAGGAACACTTTCAAAATATATATATATAAAAAAAAGACAACACCATCTTTCTTGTCAGCAAGTGACAAGAAAGGGAAGTCATTAATATGAAGTGAGGACCTTTCTCTGGAACATGCTTCGTTTTGCACTTCTACTGTGCTCTAGTTATGTTTGGCGGTATGGTGTGAACTAAATTTTAGTTGTGAAACTAGAACTGGACAGGGTTAGGATTAGGTATGTGATGGTTAGGGGTAGGCGGTGGGTAAGGGTTAGGGTGGAAAATGAATGGAAGTCAATGTAAAGTACCCACAAGACACAAAAACACAACTGTGTGTGACACACCGACCCTGTGTGCGTGTCTGCGTGTGTGTTTGTGTACGCAAGCTGACATTACCCAGGCAGCTTTCTGAAAAGTTAAGGAGGAATTTAAAGGAGAGTTTCAACATCCACTCAGAACTATCAGCACTCTAAAACCTTCTGGATATCTTCACACACATGCACACACATGGGTGTAAGCATGTGTGGCCTGGCTGCTTCCAGAAAAGAACAGCAATGCAAAATTGAAGAAGCAGAGGAATAAGAACATGGCGACTGTCTCAAGTTAGCAGTTAGAAACCCCCCGCCCTCCAAAAAACCCCGCTTTATTTCTAAAAACTTGGGGAAAACAGGCTTTGATCTCTGAATTTATTTTACTGTCAGGTTTGAAGTGAAAGGCCAGAGTAATGTTTCTTTTTCCAAAATTGCTGTTTTGTTCAATAGCATAGCAGTAAATTATGAATGTCCAGTGTCGGACATCACCAAAATACATGATTGGAAAAGCTCAGCTCACCCTGATATTTTGTGGAAAAAATGAGTAATGTTTAATTAGCCGTGTTTCCCAGACTGGGGAACTGCGTTGCAGAAGTCAGCAATCGGCTGCCCAATGGTAGATTAGCAGAGTTCAGCTGTAAACCATAATCTTGCCTCAGTGTCCACCAAGTAATGTAGATAAAAGGGATTGCACTCCCCCCCCTTCCCTACACACACACACACACACATGCACAAACCAGAATGCCAAGAAGAAGAAGAAAAACAACAACAGTAAAATGTGGTAATTTGCATTTAAATTCATCTTTTAGACAAAGTGCAATATGTTACATTTCACCATTTAGGTCGCGTTTTTTATGGTGTGTCTTATTTATACTGGGAAGTTTGGTCCATAATCCAGTCTGGAGTTATCAATTAGAGTGGCCACTGAAGCTGGTCATTTTGATGTGTGAATCTCAGGACTTCCTGATGGCGTTGCAGTTACCGTGGAAGTTGAAGCTCTTTTCAGGGAACAAGGTCACATCCTGTATAAGTGTGCTCCAGCTGAAGGTCAGCGATTCGCTACTTGTTGTGCTCGGTGACCAAGCTAACTGCTGTTAGCAATACAAACTACCGATTATGTATTTCTACTCTTTCACTCAACTGAACCACAACAGCAGTATACAGTGGAACCCCATCTATTGTGGTTCACTATTTGTGAAATGTTCTGTGGAATGTAACTCCATGTAATTATTGAAAAATTATTTTTGTAGAATATCGCCAGTCCATTGCAGCGTATCGAAGATATTTGATAAACAACACAGAGAGCATATGCATCTTTGCGAAGCTGAAATGTCTATGCTCATTTCTACTTGACATGCTATTAGCTGGCATTTGCAAAACAGCCAATCCAGGAGTAGCGTTTACTTTTGTTGGGACTCAACAGCAAAGAGAAGGAAGGCTGCAGATGTTACTGTCTGCTGAAACGTTTTCCGTTGTGCATATTAATGCATGTTAAGATATAGTCTGTGTTACAATCACTAAAAGTGTCTTTAGATGGGGTCTCAAGTATTAACCCCTTTTAGGGAACTCCAACAAATAGAGGGTCCACTGTGCTACATCCAGAAGGCCGACTGATTTAACAATATAAATTCAAATAAACAGCTTCTTTCTGCATCTATCAGTGTGTTGTATAAACACAGCACCCATATTGGATTTTTAGATGGCGGTCCTGGGGAAGTTGATGGAAACCTCCAATTTTCCAAATCAAAAATATTTGATTTTTTTTTTTTTTCCAGCGGATTTTTCTGACAAAGAATTCAAACATTCCAACACTCCAAAAAAAAAAAAAAAAAAAAAAAAAGAAAGAAAAAGGAAAAATGAGAGAAAAAAGAAGAATTTATGGATTCATGGGACACGACCCATAAATCCAACATGGCTGCTGCAGGCGTAAAGGCTAGTGACAGCTGCAATGCCTGTCTATACGTGCTGAGAAAGTTATTCTTGTTAGTTTTTATTGCTGAGAGTCATCAGCCACCAACTGGGTCACACAGCACAACCGTAAGCAAAGACACGTTTGATGGAACACGTTTAAAGTCAACACAGCATCCTTTCCAGGCTGCAGGTGTTGATTCGAAGGTAAATTAAAGGCGCGGTAAACAAAATTGAGAATCTCCATTGATCTCATTACTTCCCCTTTTTTCTAAAAGATTGCTGAAAGAAGTGCTTTGTTATTCTGCAGTCAATTAAAAAGGAGATTAAAGAAGGCCGATAAATATGCATGTCGCTCTAAGACAAAGCCCTATTCAGTCAGTCGTATAAACTTTTATAAAAATATCTTTTTTAAAAGTCCCTCATGTAAAGAATATTAATAGCAATAATAATAACACGACATGTCGTCGTGTGGGCCCCATTTGATGGGAGAAGTGCAGAGAGAGCCCATCAACAAACAGCACCGGTGTCCGTGAGACAGAAAGAGCAAAGGCCATAAACTAGAGTCCAACGTCAGGATGTCTTCAGCAGGCGTCGGGCCGCTCCTCCACACCGCAGCAGTCACTGGATCCCGAAGGAGAGACGAAGAGCTGGCGGTCTACTCGCAGGCTGACACGCTGCTGATCTTTGCCGTGTTCTCACTCCACGGCTGGAGGTTCTGCAGGGCATACAGGGAGCTGTTCTGCAGGCACAGTGGGTCGGGGGCTACCGGCTGGTTGATGGTCTTCTGGAAGGCCTCCTGTTGCAGCTGCATGAGGATCCGGTTGGCCTGCTGCCGCTCCGCTTCCCGCTCCTCCGCCGTCTGCCGTCTACAAGGAGAGTGCAGAGAGTCTGTGAGGGAGAGAGGGCCGACTGCGGTGTGGGGACACGGAGCCCCCACACTGGAGGAGGTAGACAGGACCAGAGCTTTGACACCTTCAAACAATCGATCAGTCGATCAATCAAATGTTTTATTTGAATAGCACCTTTCAGCAACAATGCATTTCAAAGGGCTCATAAAAACACAAAAATACAAAGTCGTAGAACACACAGTCAACATTACATTTCGCCGTTGCTACGCATCAGATTATTGATTAATATTTCATTGGTTATATTTCAATAGCAACTCTGAACAGTTGAGTTTTTAGTCTAGATTTAAAGGAACTCAGAGTTTCAGATGTTTCAACCTTTTTTAGACGTTTGTTCCAGATTTGTGGTGTATAGGAGGGGAATGCTGCTTATCCATGTTTGGTTCTGGTTCTGGGGATGCAGAGCAGAACCAAAACCAGGAGGAGAGGTATCTTGCTGGCTCTTCTTATTTTTATTTTATTTTTTTCTCTTTTCCGCCCCCCAACCCGTGATGGATTTTTGAGGCCATGTCCAAACAGAGGTGTCTGCGAAATTTTAGATGTGGGGCATAATCATACTGACCACCAGGAGGTCCTGGAGGGGTCACCAAAGGACAGACCGAAAGAGAATCATCTTCTTCTGGAAGACATTTGATGCTTCTGTAAAATGCTTTACACATTTTGAATTAAATATCTTGTTGTATTGATGACTGTAATTTTGATGGTTTTTCATAAGCCTGTTTCTTTGGTGTTTGTGGGCAAACTTTCTGACTGTTTGACTTTAGTCAGAGCACAGGACAAGTCTCCAAAAATGAATGTCTTTATCCATCTTTTTTTTTCCTCCTGGCCGAGTCGCCTTTCAGCCCACGTCGATACTCATGCAGTACTCATTTCACTGTGTATAATGACACTTTTCCTACTGGCAAATAGAAAATATTTTGGTAATTCTTCCTGAATTACCAAATTCAGTGAGTTTATTCTGCTTTCACATCAGACAATGTGAAAAAAAGTATGTCTTTTTATGTAGTGTATATGAACTCCAGGTTCAACTATAAGTGTATCAGATAAGCATTTTATTCACTGTGTTGGAGGACATAAATGATCATATCTAAACTGTCTGCTTTGTTAAAGGATCAATCCAGACATTTGGAGCCACCATAGAGTTAAAAAATGTCTTATCAGTAATCCTGTTCACAAGTTAGAAAAACAACTTTATTTCAATCATCTTTAATAATTTTTAAAAAATGTATCAGTACATTTGTTTTTAGGCTGTGTGAATTAAAGTTGGGGTATGTAAAACATATGCTTTAAAATTTTTTTTTTTTAAATGACAAAAAGACAATCTTTGAAAAAAACTGCTAATTTTTAGTCAACTCTTGCTGTAGAAAATGGGTTATGCAGCAAATAGAGTTGAGCTGTATAATAACGTATAGATCTGAAAATCAGTTGTTAAAATGTTCATTCTGTATGATAAAGACAGACTTTTTATATTTAGTTTATTCACATTCTGACCCTGTACATTACGTGTCTGCTGTAAAACCATGAATCCATGCAGGAACATCGGGCTGCAGAGAGTCAGAGTGAGGGAGAGACAGAAACACATAACAGTGGATATTTTGATTTTAATTTGTGGCTGAAATGACAGGAGAAAAAGACATGTAGGCTTTTTTGCAAGAGTTTGTTTTTTTCAACCTCCTGAGAGCCATGCATTCAAGTCATTGAATGCAGGGCTGGGAAGTGAGACTCAGTTATCAGCGAGGAGCTAATGGGACTGTTAGATGTGAAAAGCATAATTTTAAATTATATTTGTTGGGAAAACTGTTGCACTGGCCTGGAGAGTTATTCAAGAAGAACTAAGCTCATTTTTTGGATTTTATCTTTATTGGTCAAACTACTGTACTGAGTTTAAAACTGTTGAGTCCCATCTTACCCGCTATGTTTCACTTTAGAAAGAGGCAGAATCAGTTCAAATTGCCAGTCAACTTTTATCAAGGAATTTTTGACTAACAGTAAAATGTGTTTTGACCAATAAAATACATCAGAATCTGGTAGCTGGCCTGCGTGTGCTGCCAGAGTATGCTAATTGTGAGGCAAATGATAAAGTGAGCATCCATCCTGGAAGACATTTTGCTTGATGAAAAACTGAAGCCATTTTGTTCAAAAGGAAATGGAAGAAGATGTTTTTGGGACAGTTTGTCACCTGGAGGTGATAAACACACAGGCCTGTCAATAAATCAAAGACTGGCATGATACTGATCTTTCAGAGAAATAATAATGGCATTATTCTTTTGCCATTACTTAAAAATTATTACTAGGGTTGGCATAGTTACTTTGAAAAAAGTAACTTGATTACTCAATGAAAAATTCATCCATCAGCTAGAAAATGTGCATCTCTTTTCCATCCATTGTGTTACACACAAAACATAACTGAAGGAAAAAAGAAGAAAGCAACAATATGCATTTGCTAAAAAAAAAAAAAATACAGATATAGTAACACACTGTAACTTGAATTATTTTAATCTGATAATTGGATTGTAAGTAGTAAAAAGTTAGATTACAAAGGGTCAGATTAGAGGAAGGTGTCGATGACACCATTGTTTGACATTTCTGCTCAAATTACTTAATGTTTTTTTTTATTATAATTTTTTTCTGAAACATTTGTATTTAATTCTACTGTCATGTATTTGGTTTCTGATCCCCGTTTTATCTGCTGACAGATTGTTTATTACAGTTTACAGCAAATGTTTTATAGCATAAATCATAAAATGAGATCGAATAAAATTCTCTGCAAATATAGAAAACAAATCGGAAATACGAATAATGCCTGAACAACGCGACGTAAACGGGCGTAATCACAGAAAAACAAAATGTCAGATATGATTTTGATGGACAAAAAAAAAGAAAAAAAAAAGAAGAGAGATGAGAAAGGCTTCTTAAAGGTGGACTGAAAGCGTGGACACTAATCCGTGACAACCCACGAGAACTGATTGTCCAGTCGGGTTTCTTACGCGGGTCCACAGTTGCTCGCGCGTTTCAGGAAAAATCTGGATCTCTCCAGACCGACGCGCGTGCGCGGAAAGCTTGATACCGCCAATAGAAACAACTCTGCTCGGGAATAAAGCGGCGCGTCGAGTCAAATCTAAGAGAAGAGAGAGAGTGAAGAGGGTAGTCACCTCCACTTGGTGCGTCTGTTCTGGAACCAGGTCTTGACCTGGGCGTCGGTCATCTTCAGGGCCTTGGCCAGCGCCGCGCGCTCGGCGGACGCCAGGTATTTCTGCCGGTGGAAGCGCTTCTCGAGCTCGCAGATCTGCAGCCGGCTGAACGACGTCCGCGGCTTCTTCTTCTTCGGCGGAGTGCGATTCTGGTACGGGTGACCTACGCGGCGCGTGACAGTGAGGGGTGAGAGGGAGACTTGACGGGGGGTACGGTGGTCGGGGAGGGACAGGAGAGCGGGGAGACGCAGGGCGGAAGACAGGAAGGAAGGAGACAGTGAGCGGAGAGGAGAGGAGGCCAAACACGGGAGCTGCACGGGGAAAGGTGGAGCTGTTATAAAAACATCACATTTTAGCCATTAAAATAAATAAATAAATAATAAAAATAAATAAATAATAATAATAATAATAATAATAATAATAATAATAATAATAATAATAATAATAACCAACTTTGTAAAAGTATGGTCTCATCACTTAATTACCAATCCGAAAACCAAGATAAGATGTTTAATACTTCCAAAAAAAAGTTCCTTTTTTGTTGCTGTCTATATTTATTATAAAATTTCAGAACTACGATTTAGTGGTTTAAGACGTTTTATCAGAACTTTCAAAAACGTGAGTTATTCAGTGTTCTGTATTTTTTTTAAATAAAAGTGTATGTACATGATTGATTTTGGGGTTTAGTGAGAAAAAGAGAGAGAGAAAAAGCAAATATGCATGAACAGATGAAACTAAACTGAAGGCGCATCGTAGCTGGTTGGCAGGAAACATTGCCAACTTAATGTTTTTTGTTGTTGTTATTATTTTTCATATCACGGCTCTTATCGATTTGTTTACAGGTGATGAGTAAAAATGATCTTAACAATTTTATAACTGATTTAAATGAAAATGAAAAATTAAACCCTTGTCTATTTTATCTTCGTGTTGTTGTGCTAGCAGTGATTTTTATTTTCCTTTATGTCTTTTTCTGACTTTGTCACATTTATTTTATTTGTGTATTCGTCTTAGATAATTTTATTAAATTTTTTTCCTCCCCATTTCCAATAAGACATCATCTCCTCCAGCCCCCCCAAGACATTAAAAACCATGACAGACTCAGTGCGGAGAGAGAGCAGAACAAAAGCAGAAAGAGCAGTGGGACCAAAGAGACAGGATTCTTATGTGACCAACAATTACAACTATTTACATCTGTATAAGAGATTCTAAAAATGTGCCAGATTTTAACATGATGAAAAAGTTATTATTCCATAATTTCTTATTTTGCTAAAAGAAAAGCAAACCATTGCTTTGCATAAGGGCCTGTAATAGCAAAGGCCTGGCTTTAAAAACTCCTTAAGTCTACTTAATAATAATAATAATCATAATAATAGATACCTGTGAACCTGTCTTTGGTGTAGCGCCGGTTGCTCTCCATCCACGGGAAGGTGAGCGCGCTCAGGTTGCCGCCAGCGGGAGGCGGCATCGCGGAGCCGCCGCCGCTGAGAGGAGGCCGGTGCGCGGGGACGCGGATGACCCCGGAGGAGTTCATGTTAGTCCCGTTCATGTTCACGCTCATGTTCATGTGATAAGCTCCCCCGAGAGACGCCATCCCACACGAGCCCCCGGCGGTGCTGTTGTATCCGCCGCCGCCGCCGCCGCCACCGCACGCGAAGCCTCCCATTCCCCCGGCGCCGCCGCCGTACGCCGGGTGACCGTAGTCCGGCTCCGGCATCCTCGAGCCCAGCATGCAGCTCTGCTCCACGTTGCTCAGGATCTGGTCGATGCCGAAGCTGATGGGCTCCACGTGCGCGTGCTGCTGCAGATGCGCCCCCAGGATCCCGATGTGATCCATGGCGCTCGATGCGCTCCCCTCGGCTCCCGTGGCCCACGCGCTGCTTCTCGCTGGACCTGCTGCTCGTTATCTGGCTGCGAGGAACGCCGCGCGCGTCTTTCTGTGGGCTCCCCTGTACCCCCCCCCCCCCTCCTCCTCCTCCTCTTCCTCAGCTCCACTCTCCCAACCCTCTGCTGTGCCGGGCCATCAATCAAGTTGCCAAGGAGACAGCAGGACGTTCTGCACGGCCTGCAAACTCAGAGGGTTTCTCAGCCTGAAGTCCCCCCAGTCCCCTCACCCTCTCACACACAAGGCCCGTTTAATTTTTTTAATGCATGGACATTGAATCGGACATTTTGTCATCCTTCAAAAATGTTGTATCTTTTCTTTTGTTCGTTTTATAACCTTTCTGTTCCGGCCTCACTTGCTTCTCAGACCAAATGAATAAATACGGATTAGATTTTTAGATTCAGCTACATTTGGGCAGCATTAGCTCTGATGTGAAGATCCCATTATTTCCCATAACAAATGCGCCCCCACAAACACACAATAGACAAATAAACAAATAAATATATTGATCATAAGATTTTACGAAACTGAACGGAAAGTTGTCTCTGGGAGTGATTTTTTTTTTCTAAGAAAAACTTATTTGTACAAGACAAAGCTCGTCATTTTCTAAAGAATAATGACGTTCACAAACTGATGCACATTAATTGCAGCGTCAAAATGCGTAATTAATAAGTACAACTCGGTGCTTAAGTTGAAAACAAAAACAGGAGCCTATTCTGCCATTAAAGAAATAATGAAGCTACACTAAAATACCACATTTTTGACTTTGGCTTATAGATCTATAAAAAATCTTTAGCTTTATAATAAAACGGCCAATTTGGCTGAAATGGTTTCAGGGTGCGTATATGTGGATGAAAAAATGAGCGGCTCTTAATGCGCCTTATTTGCTGCGGATGTGACACTATTATTAATTCATGTTCGGAGGGATGACACGGCTGCAAACACAAATCCACTCCTCGTGGATTATCTTTGTTTTGGTTATTTTTTTTCCCTTTTCTTTTCCTTCTATTTTCTCCGGACCCAAACCTCCAAGGGACCGGCTCAGATAATAATAATAATAATAAAAAAGAAAGACAGAAAACAAAAATGTGAGATTTTAAAACATGTCAAGGAATGCTGAGATATTAATACTGTGAACAGCTGATAGTGAATAACGCGCAGCAGCCCACTGAAAAGCCAAACAATTAAATGAGAAATTAAACCGAAAGCCTCATTGATTTTCTCTTGCCGACGAACGCCGCTGGGACTTCATTACTTAACGCTGCTGGTACTTACATATTAATATTTGATACGGTCTGAAATCTTCTCATTGGCCGACTGAGTCACATCAAATTTTAATGCCGCCGGTAGCCAATCGGCGCGGAGCCCCCAGACGTGAGCCAATAAATGATCACCAGGGACAGGAGGCATATGAAAGGCAATCATGCAGCATGAGGCGGTATTTGGAGACAATCAGATGGTGTTTACCGTCTGTCTTCTGCATAATCGATAACGCTCGTTTCAAAGACGAACCGGTTTTAACCGGAATTCGAAACATGTCGGTAATTCGATTTTACCGGGACGTTTTAAATTCTGTTGAGCTTCAAAGTTTTGTCGGTCAGATTCAGCTCGGAGTGACGTGCATGGAGGTGTTTTTTTTTAATTAATAATTTTTTTTAAATGTTTTTTGTGCCTCGTAACTGTGAAGTTCAAGTCAGAGAGAAAAATCCAAGGGAATTTGTAATTGCAGTCTTTCACAAATACAACAAAGAAGTTACACCTCTTCAAATTCTCAAGTAAGAAAAGAAAATATATTCTTTGAGTCACACTTAGAAACAAAAACTTACACTTATAATTTTGCCCAAATGACCCAAACCACAATAGTGCAAACCAAATCTGCATACCTGGAAAAAAAATATTTCTTCGCAAGTAATTCACAAAATTCAACACGAGTCACAAAATATAAAAGCTCTGCTTTAATATTTTAATACCCAATATCACTCAGTCCAATATATTTGCAGCAAAACTAACTCAATCAGTTGTATCAACACACAGACACATTTTTTTAAAATATAATTTTTCTTTGACACAGACACACAAGAATCTGCTGATGTGAGTCCCAAATCCTGCTTTGCAAGCCACGTCATCTTCATTCAGGGATTTTTACACCAGAATGTCTGGCTGCACTTCCAGCATGCAGCCAAAAGTGCAGCCCATATTAAATGGCTGAAACACACCAGCAGCTCAAAAAGATGCATACATTCAAACCATATGTGCTAAATATTGTTTTAGGGTTCGTGTGGCCTCTTGGAACCGCAGCAATTGGGTGATGGATGCCATGCTGAAATCACACAATTGTTCACATCTCAGCCAGAGTTCTGACTTAAATGAGTTATTTTTACATTGAAAGTTACAGTCATCCAAAACAACAACAGCAATTGACATCTCTTAATTCCAAGGTCTGATGTATGAAGCCTTGACAAATATGTCGTGTTCTTAACCAAGTTCAACATTTGTTTAAAATCTGTCTTCAGGTGTGAAAAGGAGGCCATTGTCATTATGTAGAGAAATTAAGAAAAAACGACATGGCCCGTCTGTCCACAACTAAGTACACCCTTTGTGCTTCCACAGGTTTAAAGTTGAGCATTCATAATTTCACAGAAAGAAAGATTATAAACAAGAGAAAAAAATTTTACACAGCTGACAACCTTCCTAGTTGTGGTCCCAGCAACCTCATCTCTCAAACTCCTGCAGGGTAAAACTCAGAGTAACAGACAAAAGAAATAATAGAAAAAAAAAAACTGTAGGTCTCCATCTCTTATGGGTGTTAGTATCTCAGTGTTAAAATTCAATACAGCAAGTTAGAAAAATTCTCAACCTGTTTGGCTGCTTGTAACGATTGAAGGAGAAAGTTTCTTCTTTCTAAGACTTGGCAACAGGACTTGCTGACCTGCAATCGTCTCTGTCAGGTGTATCACAGCAGGGACGCATCTAGAACATGCGGTGCAGCATGTCTTGAAGACCAGGATTGGAAAACACTGCTCTGGACAGACAGATGAGACCAAAGGATGTTAGGAAAAGATGCAGAGCTCCATTTCTGGAGAACACTAAAGACGTCCTTTCGACAGAAATGTCTTAAGGACTTTCAAGCACGTTGGCGGAGGGTTGATGATTTGGGCTTGTTTTTCCATCTACGACGATATGTCAGAAAATGAAAACAATGTGTTACAACGGCCCAGTCAAAGTCCAAGGACTCAACTGGATGTGAAATGCTGTGGCGAGAAGCCGGGAGGGAATGAATGTCTGGAAGCCTTGATGGACTAGAGCAGCACATGGAAGAAAATTGGGCCAAAGTTCTTCCACAACCTCCACAGTATACTCCACATGACTTCAGGCTAAGCTCTTACACATACCATTCCAGTTTAACTTCTTTTATGTTAAATTACGACAAAGTGGAATCAGGTGGGTTAATTGAGGTTGAACAATATTGGCATTTGGCAGCTCTTCATCTCTCTGCATGTCACTCAAGACATGTCAAAGCACATAAAAAAGACGATCGTGGGTTAAAAAAATCTGACTGTCCAGAGAGCAGGAACAATAGCACAAGGTATTTAAAGTCATTCCTGGTCACTGAAGTATGTGATTACTGAATTTTCCTTCACGGCTTTTGACTAGCGAGAAAATATTCCATAGGAAGTATACACATCAAAAATCAAGGCACGCCTGGACGCCTTTAGGTGAAGCTAAGTCCAAAATTATTCATAATCCTGGCAGAGAGCAATACGTTTCTTCCAACTAGAAGTACAGATCCGTTCAATAAATGAGAATTTTATTGAAATGTTCCTTTGTTTCAGTGACTCAATTCACTCAGTGAGTGGCATCAAATGAATTCCATACGGACTCATTAGGCAGATTTTCTGCCAGTGAAAATAAAAACAACATTCAAATGAAGATTAGACCAATTAAAATGAAATCAATTACAATGAATGCTGATTACAATCATTTCTTCAACACAGAAACATTGTCTTCTGAAAGTATTTTTAATCTTACAACAGTGTTTCTAAATTATCTGCACTGTACAGCGCAAGTCCAGTGTATGGAGGGCCAGAACTGACGAAATTATAAATATGAACTGAATTATCTGCACATGTATAGAGAGACTTTCTTTTCTTTTCTGCTCCAAAGCTAACATTGGTTACTTGATATTTTTGGTCGCCATTTTCATTTGGAAAACATCAGAACTGGGGTTGAGCTTTCCTCACAGAGGCTTAGGGCTACTGTTTTCCTTCCCACTGTGTGACTGACGGCTCCCTATCAGAGCACTTATCAAGTGAAAGTCAAGGACTTCCAGAAGTCCCATTTTCAGGTGATTGATGGAAGCCAGTGAGTGAATAAGGAGACAGAGTGAAAGAGTGAGTGAAAGAGGAGAAATTTACCAACACAAAGAGTGAAGTGAAAAGAAAAATAAGCACAGAAGCTGACATTAAATGGACTAAATTTGGTTGAAAAGAATTTGTAGAAAAGAATCATGGTTTATCATAATAAACACACAGTATGTGACAGTTTCCCATTTCAACAGTTAATTACAATACCAGATTTTTCACAATGTGCTGAAAACATTGGGAAAATAAGAACTATGTTCATTTTGTGATGACCTGCACCAGAGTGCTAGGGCTCAGTTCAGGCAATGTCATTTCTGCCAAGTGGGTTCTGCTGGGTTAGCATGTGCACACATTTAAAGCTTGTGTACAAATTTAGAAGTCTAAGAAATGCAAGCTTAACCTGAGACTCATAGATACTTGGATGAGCAGCTGCAAACAGGTTCCTAGACAGAATCCCAGGTTAGGTATTTAAACTCTCACGACAACTCCCCCCAAATCGTCTGACGACTGGGTGGTAGAAACTGGGGAGTCAAAAGCAATGCACGAGTTGCGACACGCCATCTGCAGCACCTCCATCCTCTGGTTGTACCCAAGAAAATGAGAAAACTATCCATATTGATGTGTGACCATGAGTGTCTTAAAGCCCCACAAACCCCCCAAAAACCTATAAACTTCTAAATTGACCA